AAAAACTTCTAGACTTAATTGACAGATTCAGTAAAGTATCTGGATACAAGGTGAATACCCAAAAATCAATAGCCTTTCTATACACAAATAACAGACAGACAGAAAGAGAAATAAGGGAAAAAATTCCTTTTACAATAGCATCCAAAAAAATGAAGTATCTAGGAATCAATCTAACAAAAGAAACAAAAGATCTCTACACTGAAAACTACAGCACTCTGAAAAAAGAAATCGAAGAGGATATAAAAAAATGGAAAGATATCCCCTGCTCCTGGGTAGGAAGAATCAACATAGTGAAAATGGCCATACTACCGAAACTGCTATATACATTCAATGCAATGCCAATTGAAATTCCAACACTATATTTCACAGAACTAGAAAAAAGAATCCAAAAATTCATTTGGAACCACAAGAGACCTAGAATAGCAAAAGCCATTATAGGCAACAGTCACATGGCACCAGGTGTAACAATTCCCAATTTGAAACTATACTACAAAGCCACTGTGATAAAATCAGCATGGTACTGGCAAAGAAATAGGCCTGAGGATCAATGGAACAGACTGGAAGACACAAAAACAAATGCAGATGTACTCAGCTACCTCATCTTCGACAAAGGAGCTCACCATCCTCAGTGGAGGAAAGATAGCCTCTTTAATAAATGGTGTTGGAAAAACTGGATATCAACCTGTCACAGATTAAAATTAGACCCTTATCTTTCGCCATGCACTAAATTAAAATCCAAATGGATTAAAGATCTAAATATTAAAACAGAAACATTAAACTTGCTGGAAAGTAAGTTAGGCAGAACTCTGGAAGACATTGGTATAGGAAAAGACTTTATGAACAAATCCTCAGTAGCACGGGAACTAGCAGAAAGAATCAACAACTGGGATCTCATCTTACTAAAAAGCTTCTGTACTTCAAAAGAAACCATTAGCAGAACTAAGAGACAATCTACAATGTGGGAAAAAATTTTTACCAGCTGTACCTCAGACAAAGGACTATTATCAAGGATATATAAAGAACTCAAAACAATCAGTCCCCCCAAATATAAAGACCCGATCCAAAAATGGGCATCCGAAATGAACAGACATTTCTCATACAAAGAAGTGAAAGCAGCAAGAAAATATATGAAAAAATGTTCCACATCACTGGTCATTCGAGAGATGCAGATGAAAACAACACTGAGATTCCACCTCACCCCACAAAGAATGGCTGCTATCAAGAAATCACACAATAACAAATGTTGGCGGGGTTGTGGGGAGAAAGGAACCCTCCTCCATTGTTGGTGGGAGTGCAGACTAGTGCAACCACTATGGAAATCAATATGGAGATACCTCAAAGAGCTTGGACTGGAGGTTCCATTTGACCCAGCCATCCCTCTGTTGGGTATCTTTCCAAGAGAACTAAAAGAATCATATCACAGAGAAGTATGTGCACCCATGTTTATAGCGGCACAGTTTGTAATAGCTAAATCTTGGAAACAACCTATTTGCCCATCCGTTGGAAACTGGATAAAGAAGTTGTGGTTTTTCTATAAAATGGAATATTACTCAGCCATAAAGAGCGAGAGAATAGATTCATTCATAGGAAAATGGATACATATTGAAGATATACTCCTAAGTGAAATAAATAAGTCCCACATGTGTAAATACCAAATAGTTTCCCTGGTGTGAATATTCTGCAACAATGCATAAGATTCTAATAAGATTACTGACATTTAGAAATGGGAGGAAAGGAGCTAAAGATGTAGGGAAGGTGTGATACGTAGGGGAAGAACAAAAAGGGAAAAGAAAAAAATGTGAGAGAATGAAAAGATGAAAATAAAGTGTTTGTAGATGGGGAAGGGAGGAGGGGGTGAAGGGAGGGCAGAGGTAAGGGGAAAAAAATGAGAATCAAGACTTGCCATGTAAAGGCACATGATCCCAACAATGAATGTAACTGTACTGTATCCCTAAATGTACCAATAAACTCAATAAAATGAGGGGCCAGGGATTTAGCTCAGTGGTTCCACCGCTTGCAAAAGGACCAGAGTTCAATCCCCGATCCCCCCCTCAAAAAAATTAAAATGAGCCAGGAGTGGTGGAGTACATCTGTAATCCCAGGTCTTTGTGGGGAGGTCTGAGCCAGGAAAACTGCAAGTTCAAGCCAGTCTGGGTAACTCCAAGATTCTGTCTCAAATTTTAAAAAAAAGGGGGAGGGGGGATGTAGCTCAGTGCAAAAGCACTGGGCTCAATCAATCTCCAGTACATTCACAGCAATAATAATGATAGTTTAAATGAATTTATGTAAAAATGACAATATTGTGGATATACTGGGCAAAATAGCAAAATTAATTTCAACCTGCTTCTTTTTACTTTTCATGCGGCCACTATAGATAATCCAAAATTATATGAGGGTTGCATTCTGTTTATTGGGCAGTATTGTTCTAAATCCATCCCAGAGCTCTTCCCCTTTTCAAGGGAGATGGGGGTGGGGTCCTCACTGCACCGGGCAGTGTCAGAGGGGCTGCCAAATGTGGGGTAATTCTGCCCCCATGTGTCCAGCAAAGGAAACACAGCTGAAGGCAGCCATAGCAACTGGAGAGGGGCTTCCTGAAATTTGCCCTTCCTAATAGCAAAGTTACAGGTTTTGGAGGGATGGAGGAAGGAGGGAAAGGGAAGGGGAAGCAAAAAGAAGTAAGATGTGTTAGGTAATGTACCAAGTCCCCACCACTATTGTAATTATCATGCACTGCAAACATATTAATAAAAAAGATTCTTCATGTCTCCCCAGTAAACTTTACTTCTTAAAAAAAAAAAAAAAGTCATACAAGTCTGGCTCAAAAATCCTTTCAAGATGTTCCCTACTCAAGGAGCCCAGATCTCCGGTGCACCAGCTCCCCACAGCTGAACAAGAGGCATTACTGGAGACCTACTCCGCTGGCAATGAGACAAGGAGGTAGACTTACAGAAGGGGCAGAGGACTGCAGCAGAGGGAATGACTCCCACAAGTTCCTAACTTCAGACAGCACTCCATTTGTAGTTTAAGGGGAAAGACAGGGAGGGAGGCAGAGGGCGAGGGGGGAGGGGGGAGAGAGAGAGAGAGAGAGAGAGAGAGAGAGAGAGAGAGAGAGAGAGAGAGATCCCCCCCTCCGGAACCTTTCCCTTCCCAATGGGATTTAGGAGGCCATAAGAATCAATGTCAGCATCCCCTCCTCTGTCCCCTTTCCCCATCCGCTGCTGGCTGAGTGCTCTTGAAGAGGTCGGGCTACAGGCTCTTTCTGCTCCTTTCCCTCTCGCCCCCCATTACCTGTAAAAAACCGGCCACGTCATCGATGGAGAAAACGTCCATCACCTCCATAGCCCCCGCGCTGGCCTTGCTGACTACTGGAGTGAGTGGGCAGCTGCAAAGATTCCCCATTCCCCCTTTAGGCTGGGCAATCTCAAACCCCGAGCCCACCCACCCCCGGGCTCCCAGAGCTTAGGGTGAGGAGCTTGGCGATGGACGGGGAGACGTGCTGAGGGAGCACCCAAGGACCAAGGTACTTGGGGAAGAAGGGATGCCCTGCCTGTTTCTACGGCTGGTGATGATTTTGTCCACGCCAAGGAAGTGAGCGGAACGCAGCACAGCACCAAGATTCCGTGGATCATGGAGCCCCTCGAGGACGAGCCACAGCTGCTGGGGGTCATCGCTTGGGCTCGCCTTCCCGGGCTCAGTATACGGCTGGGGCCGCAGAGGGGTCACCTCCATGCAGACGCCTTGGTGCACCTGGTAGTGGCATAGGGCATCCAGTTTCTGCCGCCTGGGCCTAAGAACTGGAATGTCCTGCGCCTCGGCTACCCGGAGAAGCTCGGCCCGCTCCCCCTGGAG